TTGAAGCAATAGGATAAGTATAAGTCCATGCAAGACAATAAGGTTATTGGGAACTTGTCCCATTACCAGAAGGTATGAAACTCATTTGGCTTCAAGATGAATATTGTTGATGATTGTATGTATCACAAGTTTAAAGGGAGGCAAGTTTAGTCTCAATTAGTGCCCAAAGAGAATTTGAAAATTGAGGAAATGCAAAAGATTCCCTATGCATCAGTTATAGGGAGTTTGATCTATGCCCAAGTATGTACGCATCCAGACATAGCATATATAGTTGGGGTTCTAGGCAGATATTTAAGCAATCCAGGAATAAACCATTGAAAAGCAACAAAAAGGGTCATAAGATATTTAAAGAGAACAAAAGATTATATGCTCACATATAGGAGGTCAGACCAGTTAGAGATCGTTGGGTTTTCTGACTCAGATTTTGTAGGATGTCAAGAATTTGTAACATGCTATGAGACATCAAATCATGGAATATGGCTGAGAAATTTTGTCACAGGGCTGCAAATTGTGAAAGACATTGAAAGACCACTTAAGTTATATTGTGACAATAAATCAACTGTATTGTTAAGGAAAGAGTACAAAGTGGATAGATTTTCATAGAACACTTAAGGACAAACTCCATGATAGCATATCCTAACTAAAGGACTTCCGCCCAAGGTCTTTCATGAGCATATTGCTCACATGGGTGTTTTACAGTTTGAGGAATTTGTGGTTTAGTGGGAGTTAGTCACTTTCATATATTTTATGTTCTATGTTTAATTTCATATATGTATACATTGATTTTTAGACATATTTGGTTATCTATAGATATGCGGTTTTTTCGTTCATTTATTACACTTTATACATTAAGGATATTATATCGATCTCGATAAGTTAAAGTTTGGACCAGTTGAAAATAGACGTGTACAGATCACCTTCACGTAATTTTTCATGCTACACATTTCATGATGAATCCATGTCATTTGGTTATGTTAGGATGAGTAATCATTGTTGGTTTTAGTTGCGATGATGCAATGAAAAGCTGGTTTGGTTCTATATCCTGATATGATTAATGGACAGGACTTTTGGAGTATGCTAAAGGAATATAATGGCAATTGTGAGCTCATAAAGTCTAACACATTTGTAAGGTTGTAAGGACATATATATTTGTGACCAGTGGGAGATTGTTGGCAAAATTTGGGTCATGTATATATATGATATATAATTTAAATGTGTTAGGGTCATTATTTATTAAGCCAAATAATAAAGTGATCTGACTAAATTAAAGTTTTGGCTAAAGACATATGTCATGAAAATAAAATTGTGTAGAGACCATAGAGCAATTTCTAATTTGATGAGGAGTCAAATTGGAAATACTAAAACTTAAGTAATTAACTTAATTCTGGTTATTTTAAGGGGTCGTGGTCCCCTTCTGGGAGCACACACACAGAACGTAAGTATCAGTCCTGTTCCTTTCTTTCTATCCCCATCAAGAGAGAAAATCAAGAGGAAAATACAGGTGCTCTTCAGGTGGAAGACCATAAGATTAATATAGTGCTCTACAAAGACATCATCGTTATGACTAATTCAGGTACGCTTTCGCATTCAATTTACAACATGTTTATCAGTATGGGATTATGTTTATGTTTGATCGTTAAAATCAAAATCAGGATTATTATTATTATTATTGTTTTTCCAACAAATATTTGTATTTGAGGTCACTGCAGATTTTTTATGTTTTGTCCATCCACAGTATACTCTAGCGTATGGAAGGAGAAACAAAATGAGCGGGCTAGGAAACAACTATATTGTTATATAATTTTCAAGCCTGATATGAAGAATCCTTCAATTATTGTGTCATCAATAAATTCATGCTTATTCTTAGCACTTAACATAATTATCACTTAGTTGCTCCATGAATGATAGTTGCTGATATCGACAAGAAAAGAAGATATCATAAAGATTGCTGGATTTTCACTAGAATGAAGATAAAAAAAAAAACTTAAAAAAAAAATTGATTGGAAGATCCCTCACTCATGATGAGAAAAAAAATAGTTCAAATCAAAGAAAGATAAAAGATCAAAGAAAAAACAAAGAAGAAAAAGTGTCAAATACGCAGCAAAGCAGTTCAAGATAAATGATCTACTATCATCTTAGAATTTGTTCAGAACCCCATAGACCAAGTAGAGGTCATAACACCCATGCACAACATAGTCAACCAAAAGAAAAAGAAGGGACAACATTACAAAAAAAGAGAACGAAGAAAATTAAGCAAAATGAAATGTGTGTGGAAAAACTATATTATAAAAAAAGAAAAAGAAAAAGAGATTATAACAAGGAGAAACGAATAATAAAAAATGCATTTGAATATAAATCATACAGCGTGGACAAGCGTGCATTGTTGACACTAGACAACTAAAACTGTTTTCTAAAAATTTTATCATTTTGAGAAAATTACTTAAGATAACTCTAAGAAAATTATTTCTTATTCTAATTATTATTTTTTAATATAATAAATATGAAAAATAACCTATCTTTAGTAGTATATAAAAAAATTAAAATAATAAGTATCTATTTATACACACTCATGATTAGGATGAATAATGAACCCAACTAGTTATATAAACAAGCTTCACCTTTGTTATATATAATTCCACTTAATTAATTTTTAAATAGTTATATAATTTTTTTAATTAATTCTTTAGTTTTGTATGAAATGTAGATAATTATAATTTTAAATTGAATCGAGCCAAAACTCTTAAATTCGTAAACCTAAATTAAATTAAGATAGCTAGAATTAAAATACTTCACTAGTATAAAATGAGGTTTTTATGTCTCGTTATTTTGGTATTTTTATATCAGAAACAAGTTCGATTTTAATACAAGAGACGTAAATTTATGTTAGATATAATCACGGACGTAAATTTATGTTGGACCGTAGGTATAATCGATGTAAATTTATGTTGGACCTAGGATATAACCAACATAAATTTACGTCAAATATGCCCCTGATCCGATGTAAATTTTGTTTTTTTTTTAATATTCAGTTTATTTTGTCGCCAGTCCAGATTTTAATAGAATAATTCAAAAATATAACAATACAATATAATACAAAGTTAAATTAATAAAGAGACTAAGCTACTTAAAAAGTAAACATTACAAAACTAAACTAATACAAAGACTAAATTAAGTAAAGTAAATGTTAAACTATATAATACAATACAAACAATAACCTACAAACTAAGTACTAGAAATGTTGAATGAGACATTGTTCATTATTCTCTAATTTGTGTAATATCATATTCTGATAGCAGTGATGGATGAACCTTAAAATACCTAAAACATTAATTTGAATTTTGTTGTAAGCAATTATTTCTGTCAAAGAACCAGTTATACCCGTACCAACTATGACTCTCATCCAATACCGTCATGCTTATTACACCGAAGAACTAAGAAACAAAACATAATGTTATTATAACATAATATAACATACTTTTATCTATTACAAATACTTAGGAACATCTTCGTCTCTTTTTTCCCTTTGTTTTCATATGTTGTGCGTCTAAATCCGACATCGCAGTCAAAACTTATCATTTTTCAAACATTTTTTTTGTTTTTTTTTCATCATCATACAACCCTAAACCCTTTATACTGTGATATCTTCTCTTCACATCATACCATATTATAATTCAAACTACAAATTATTATATAAATAATTTACAAACAACAAAAAACATAAAAATGCAAGAATAAATCATAAATCCTCTTAAACACATTAACAGATAATCACAAACTACTACAGTTCAATTTCAATAATAATCCAATGGAGATATTCATGCAATAAGGTGATTGAGATCACAAAAACAATCACAGGTTCCATTTCAATATAAAACAGAAGACACATAGAACATTAACCTCAAATATACAAAAAATGTTCTAAAACTTGAATTCCTTCGGAGAAAAATGTCAATCATCCCAAATGGAACACATTATAGGTGTTTTGTTGCTCTATGTGATCGAAATGTATCTTGAGAAAAGTTGATTTAGTCATTATCGTCATTGTCACTTGAAAACCCTCATGCGCAAGAGAAAAAAGAATTCTGAAATGATTAGAACGTGACTTTTACGTCGGTTCTCGTAAAGATCGATGTAAAAGCGTTTTTTACGTTGATTAAAAAATCATCCGAAACTAACTTATACGTTAGTTTCTAAGAGGTCCAATATAAAAATAATGTGTCTTATTTACAAAAATATTATCACATTTTTTTAAATAAATTATTTTTTGTATCAAACGAGAATTAAACGAGGTAAAAAAAAACGATTGTGCTCGCTCAAATAAAATTTCAAGCCAAATCAAGCGTATCCAAGTTTATCGGATAGGGATCCTAGTATTGGGTGTCCCACCCACTGTGAGATAGTTTTTTTTTGTGAAGTTTTATCGGATTTTAAATTGGACGTATTTTCATCCTACATGAGTCACGGTAAAATAAAGTTCAAATTCAATAAATAGGGTGAAATATGGTATTTTTGAAGTTAAGAAAAATCACTAAAAAGTTTAAATTTATGAAAAAGTACGATGAAAAAACTTAAAATAGTGTAGGGAGAAAGTGAATTGAGTAAAGTAGAAATGAAATTGAGAAGAGAACTTTGACAAAATAAAAAGAGGAAGCAGAAGGTCAAAGATAGGATCTGACCTTCTGTTCGCTCAGATCCTTATTTTGTGTTCATAATTAAAATATGAGTTGAAATCTCGTTATAACATTATCTAAAAAAATCTATTATCTAATATTTTAAAGTTTTAAATTGAAGATAATATGATAGAACCTTGTGTTGAAAATATTTTAGATAAGATTTTGAGGCAAACACCGTAAAATTGAAAATACTTTAACATTTGGCCACTTCGTTTAGCAACCTAAGCATCCATTCATGCCATAGAAATCTCTAAAGGAATCTTGAGCGGTTAACAATGCCAGGTTTTTGTGGAAAGGGTGTTCCAAGGTTCTCCTCACAAACTCAGCTTAATGATCATCAAGAAAAGCCAGTTTTTCCTTCAAGAATAGCCCACTAAATTGCCCTGCCTCATCCAATATGTCTTTCCCTGCTATGCTTAATTGTGAGGCTTCATATAAATCTATCAATCCCTTCATATTTCCACCTAGTTTATGGATAAACTTTCCCTCCTTGTCTGTGAACTTGTCAAACACCTCTGAATGTTTCCAACACAATAAACCTATTTTTAGTGTATGATAATTGCTCAGCTTTTAGCTTGAGTAAACAATTTCATTGAAAATAAATATATAAATAACCCACCCACCTGCTGACACATAGTAACCTTGTTGTCGTAATAAACGAAAGCAAAGTGCAATATAATGGAGATCGTTGCCATAGGTACCCCAATTAGTGTTGCAAATCACATATTGCTTCTGTAAGAATGCATCAATTTCCTCTTGGAAGTGGTAATCAATATTTAAGCGCATCATTGCATCAACCATGCAAAGTCCTTCAGGTGAACTTTCACTGACATTCCTCAGCACACGCTTAAGAACCTTCAGTTTCTCTCTCTGATTATTACTGATATCATCCTGCAAAGGAACTGAATTAGTCCAAGTTATAAAGCAAGATATTGTTTTTCAATTTAACGAAAAGAAGTTTTGAAAGTAGGCAAACTTTGAACATACTGAGTTGATCCATGCTATAGGGTAGTTATCTTGCAGAATGTTCCATTTGTTAGCAGTAGGCAGAGAAACAAATTTGACACGATCAAAGTTTTGAGTTGTGCTTTTGTTGCAAGAGATTGAGGTTTGAAGCAATGAAGACACGATTTTAAATGCAGTGCCATGGCAAAAAGTGTGTCTAAACGATGACAGGAATATTCATATAGTTTAGTTGGAAGGATTGGTGACTACAATCAAAATGTTTCCAGCATTTAAAGAAGGTCACGACTCAACAACGACATACTTCATTAATAATTAAAGCTTCGATTTTCCTTTATTTTCTATTTTCAAATGTGGTATAGAAATGTTAGTGATATAAAAAAAATTGCGAACCTAACATTTTATTTAATTGTTTCTTATGATTCTCTTATAGGAAATGTTAGAAGAGATACGATAGAATGTTGCAAAAACTTCTTCATCCTTCACCAATCTTTCTTGTTCCCATCCCTTTAATGGGTTTTCCACAAAGATTATGAAAAGAATGAGTTAGTGTTATTTATATAATATGTTATATAACAATAATAACTTTGTGTCAACTGTTACTTATCATATGTTTTAAATATGCCGTCACTCCTGAAATTTGATACAATTTTTTTCCTTAAAAAATTGTAAAAATTAGTCCTTCATATATTTTAATCCTTTTAATAAAATCTGTAAATATCAGTCTTAAAAACACGATGGTTGGTGGTCTCTTTCCATCTACGACGTTATACAATATAAATAATTGAATATTTTAAATATATTTAATATTTTTATAAATACAAATATATAATTATATTGAGTAAAAGGATAATATTACTTAATTTGATAATTTATATTTAAAATAAAATTATTTTGTTCTTATAATATTAAAAACGTACTTATTTTTAAATTTAATAATTATATATTTTTATTTCAATATTTTTTATCTCTCTACAAAAAAAAATTCGTTACTTTTATGAATAATAAATTGTATAGTATTCTTGTTAAATAATGTATTTTCAATAAAAGAATTCAATGATTTAATTATATAATTTTTATTTCTAACGATATTGAATATTTTTACTTGAACGAATATAATTTTTTTGTAAAAATATTTAATGATTTTATTTTATTTGTATTCTATTTTCAAAATTAATGTTGATGTTAAAAAAAAAAAAAAATCTAAGGGTAAAATGGTTGTTTGTCTAAAGCCCATTAAGAGTGGGCTATTGTTTGTTTGTTGTATTGAACTACCCATTAAAGAGGCCGACTCTTTCGGCCCAAATAAACCAACAATTATTATTTTTTTCAGTTACATAAATAAATTACACTATTGTATCTGAAAATTATTTACTAATTATTTTATTATTATTTATATTTTTTACTTTAATTTAGAAGAAAATAAAATGCTTTAAGTGGAGTTATAAGGTTCATTTGATAGTAAAAGAAATCTTAGGTGAAATCTGTTACATGGAATATGATATCTGTACAGGATTTGCATAACTTTAACCCTTTGATACTTGAACACTATATACACAGAGAGAAACACAAAATTCAGAGTCAAATCTCAAACTAAACATCATGAACAGAGTTTGGGCAAGTACATAGGATTGCTCGTAATATGAGTCCCTGACCTCTTTAGTTGGGTCCCACTCTGCATTCCTTCCATATCTCCTCTAAGCTCTTCAGCATCATGGCTTCTCTTTTCAACATCCATGTTCTTGAAGCTTTTACGAAATACGGATTCAAAAAAGTTTTTCAAATGATCATTTTCCTGAAGCAAGGTTTTCATTCGGCTTTGTTTGGTAATGTAAGCTCTGGGTTTTGCCTCTGAAGGAAACACCAAGTTTCGAGTAAGATGTCTCAAAAGTTCTGCTGACAGCTTCTCATGCTTCAGTGTACAACAGATACTTATTTCCTCTTTTTCACTTAATCCTGCGTGGACCTATGAATTTTTATCAGTAGAGACTTCATAAAACACTACACATTGATAAAAAAGAAAATAGTAGCAGCAATTATCAATTGGAAGTTGCAGGCTTTCTAAAGTGAAAAGTTGCACATAAGTATTATAGCCTTGCAATCATAGAACAATGCAAAGTGGTAGCTTACCTTTAGATACATGTCCATGGCAAGGTATAATTGATCATGAGATTCCCTTGCAGTATCTGGGAGCATTGTAATCAACGCTTCAAACTCACAAGGTTTGAGATGGGGATCTGGAGCAACTTCCAGAAGGAACAAATCCATCATTTTCGCCACTCTCTTAAGTCGATTTGAAGTTAATGCAAAACTGTCTCCAAAGAAAAATATGTGTACGAGTCTAAGGACAAAATCAACATCATATGCTTGACCCCTCCGTCGTGGAGATGGAAGAAGTAGATAATCAATGGTTGTTTGATCCAGAAGAGGACCTATAAGACCTTCTATCTTGTTTATGCAACTTGTGCTCATTTTCAAACAAACAGCCATTCGATTTAGATTGAATAAATCCTTGCAAGAAATTGATCTCAAATCTAGCAGCAAAAGAAGATTGATTACAACCTCGGTAGCCTCAATCTTCTCATCTTGTGCAGCACCGAGACAAGTTGAGTTGTGATAGTAGAACAGAAAGCTAGAGACCACACCATGTTCAAAATCATAAGATAGCATTGTCCTTATGACCTTGTCCAACATATCAACCTTCAAGAACAGGAGATGTTCGAACCACCATGTAGCCCCTGAGCAGTTATTTCTACAGCTGTTATTGCTGCTTGTATCACAAGAAAACTGGAAGCTGGATCTGTTGGAGGAACACGTATTTGGACTTGTAACGCCTGGTGATGCTAGCCTCTCTATCAAGTGATCCACAATTCTGTCCAGAATAGCCAAATAACCTTTGAAAGAAAATAAGTCTTGACACTGTTTCAATGCTTCAAGGAGCTCAGACCAAGTCCAGAAACGAATTCCTTCAAGAAATTTTTCGATGTGGGGTTTCAAATTGGGTGTTTCAGTACCTTCATCACATTCCATCTGAATGAAATGAGCAGCAGAACATAGCAGGGACATGTTTGATGGAGATGGAGTCACCTCCATACTGCTATTGTAGCAAAGTCGTGCTATGAGCTCAAAAGCATGTGTGTAACCCCTGGAAAGTCGCAAAATATAACTTTCCCTCCCACATTTATGACCAAGAATTACCAAATAAGCTGCTAAATTTACGGGATAAAGGTGAAAGAATATACTGCACAGTATTAACCAAGGTTAGATGGCCAGCACAGAAGTATTGGAAAATATTTTTCTTCGCCAAAGAATGTAAAATAGTGTGCAGTGTTTGAAATAAAACAACTTCAACTAAAATTATAAACACTTGATAGTATAAAGAGATTAAGATACATCATACATCATGGACATAATTAATAAAGAGCAATAATAATATTTGAACTTCGATTTTTCAAAATACTTGATATTTTTTCTTTATTTTTCTCTTGGTGTGACACCATATTTTTCTTTTCTCTTTTATCATTCTCTCACAAGTACCTACTCGCATATTGGTGAGTAGAATATCAGTTTCCAATAGGAAAGAGCAAATATACCCACAGGAGAATACATGTGATGACAGAAAGCCTCAAGCAGAAGGCACTTGATAAATGAAATGATGGGGGTGATGTTTGTGAGAAGGAAAGAAGACATAGGTCATGCACTTCGTGCAATCCATAATGACATGAAGGGTGATGCTAGCAGGTTGGCAGGTCCACATGCTTGCCACACTTTAAGGTGTAATTAAATGTTAAGTGTCTATTTCTCATGCTGTTGGGGTAAAGACCATATGCGCATGCTAATCACAAACCGTTTCACTCAACAAACTACAAGTTACTTCAAAAAATAGAATCAAATAAAGAGTTTCACCATGATTATCATGAAAGTTTTCTCTCCATTGTGCTATTCACTTCAAGATCACAGCCACTGCAAGCTCAAGCTCTCACTGTTCCAACATTAATGAGTATGTATGTCAAAGATGCATTTGAGGATTAGGAAGTTTGGTGGCATGTCTATAGATGACAAAACACCAATCAGATAAGGTCTTGGGAACCAAAGAATCATTAGTAACAAAAACAGGGAAGAATGATGTGAATAGAAAAACAAAAACAAAATCAAAAGGGTGTTTTTTCTGCTCTTAGTCAACAAAGGAAACGAGCATGTTGGTGTTTTCTGAAAAAGTAAACAAAGGAAAATATTGGTAACATTCGACAAGAAAGTTTAGTTAATTGGCAAACAAAATAAACTTTCATGTAAAATATTTAATTCTGTTTAAAGACTAAAGTTAAGTTAATAATCGATTCTATCTGAAAACTATAGTTAATTTAAGGATCAAAGTACTTATCAAAATGACCATACAAAAGGACACTTTATCTGAATATGCTTATGTACTTTCTCATTTTTTAGGTAAGAAAATATTTTCACGTAACAATAAATAGTGCAAAGGTTTGATCAATTATTTTATTAAAATTAAAAGAATAATATAAACAGTATAATAATTTTGAATAATAGTATAATATAATAGTAAAGGAGATATTTTATTAAAAGAAACGTGTGACATTAAAAGAGTGATAAATGAAAAAATGTACTGAAAATTCAGGATAAAAATGAAAAAGAAAAGTAATGTAAGCTCAAAACCTGGTTCAAGGTATAATGTGAAAAAATTACAATAAATTAGTAAAACAATTTATAAAATGCTTTTATTTTAACCACATAAATATGTAAATACATTTTAAATGAACTAAAATAACTTATTAATTAAACACTTTTCTGAATTGAAGAATCATCAACATTGCATTTTTAGATTCCGAATTCTTTTATATCAATTATTTTTTTATATTCGCTCTGACATAGTTTAAAATAATTGTTTTTCTTGTTCTCTTTTCTCTTTGTTAAATAATTTAAAATATTATATATATATATATATATATAATAAAATATAAGCAAAAATAAGAATTGAACAAATATTTTTTATTTATATCATTTTATAAGCAGCGAGTTTTTATAGCAAAGAATCTAATTTAATTGGATAGCTGTAAGTTATTATAAATTTTTTTGTTATCTAATTTCAACTTCTATGAATAATAAAAGAGAGAGAGAGAGTTTTTATTAGTTGTGTTCGGTCACCGAATAAGAAAATGGAGACCATGTTTGGAAGCAACCCTAGAAACACAGAACAAAATTGTGACCATGCGCATTGATATTATTGGTAAACAAAGTGATCCATTGAAAGTGAGGAACTTTCCCTTTTTCCGTTACTCATGCCACCAATTTTTGGGCTTCTAACTTCCTTTGACCAACTGATTCAGTGGACACTGGATCTGCTGGATCCCACACTTTATAAGAACTTCACTGTTTTGATTTTTTGAATTTCGTTTCTATAAAGAATAATAACCTAACTTATTTCATTTCCTTCTCTTTCTCATGACGCTACTGGAATCACACCTTCCTCAGGAGTATCATCATTGTCAACACCATTATAGCACCAGGACGTGAACACCAACTCATGCCATTCTTATGGATATCTTGCTATTTAAGAATTCTTTTATTCCTGCATGATTTGGCATACCATAATAAATACAAGGATTAACATTTTTTAAACTTAGAAAAATGTACAAAGTGAGTTTATTTGTTCACTACCAACTCATCAAACACATGGGCGTAGAAGTCAATGAGAATTAAGATTAAAATATTACAGAAAATAGGATTGGATAGTAATAAAAGTTTAAGTTTGGATTTGGCATTTGTGGGCTTAATTTGGATGAAATATTAATTAATAAGAACTTGAAAGAAAGCAATAAGTATTCACGGGTAATCATGTATATGGGCACAATCATAGCTGAACTTAATGGTCTTCACTTAATCATTTGTTATGTCGTAATTATTAAGACTTAAAATATATTTCTAAAGTTAAAATATTTTACTTCTTGATGTTCAGATTTAGAGAAAACTAATCTCATAACTCTTCCTTGTAAGTGAATATCGTGAAAGGTTTCCTTTGAATATAGTTTCTATGAAGACTTGAAAAGACATAATTTGGTATTTAAATCACATGAAAAAAAAAGACAAATGAAATGGACCCTTGCTCTCTAACACCAATGGAAACACCTCCTAGGACAGGGTTTCAACTTGACAACATAGACGAGCTTATTTGATCAGAAAAATACTGAACAAGTACTAAAAAATACCAGTTCTTCAGATTTTAGATTATTTAGATTGAAGTTGGAAACTTGAATGTTCAAAATAAAAAAGAAAAAAAGTGTTGCCTTGAAATAAATATAGAATTGTGTATATTTATTATGCATAACCAGAAATGTGTGCATTTAATATTTACGTATAACCAGGATTATGTTTGAGTGGGAAAATAGAATAATGGAAGTGGGTCCGAGAGAAGAGGTAGGATGACCAAAGAACCTGAAGCAGTAATTGATCGAAATGAAAAGAATATGAGAATGGCAAATAATAAACTAAACTTGCATTTATTTTTAATTTATATAGTTTTTGGAATGGGACAATTTTAATATTTAGGAAATTTTAATTACACCTCCACTTTTTATTAAATTAAACTTACTGTATTATATATGGTATAATGTTTCATCGATATATAAATAAATTAATACTATTATTAGGATTAACCATTATATCGGAAGTGTTATCTATTATTTTAAAAATATAGTTTTTCACAGTTTATCATTATCAAAGTTTAGGTAAAATTAAAGAAAAAATATTTATATATTTGTTTCTGGTGGAATTTTGATTGATTTCGATTTCTAGGAAATTTTGTCTTAATCAAATTCCTACCACGTAAATTCTTTTTATTCAGGCTAGCAAATGTTTTTTCAATCGAGATGCATATGAGAATCGAAAATATCACAATATCGAGAAAACCCCCCTAACGAATCATGACTTATCGAAGGCACTATTTTTGGTATTTTATATTTTTGAAATACTCGAAATAAGGAAAACAGTGAAATGACAAATCGAAAAGCAGGATAGAATATAAAACTGCGAAGAAATATTAAATTTCAGAGAATGTAAAGTACGGAAACCTCGAAATTGCATTAAGTGTAAATGACATGAAATCGAAAGTACAGAAACTTAAATTGCATTAAGATAAATGACATGAAATCGAAAGTATAGAAACTTAAATTGCATTAAGATAAATGACATGAAATCGAAAGTACAGAAACTTAAATGACAGGAAATCGAAATTACAGAAATGTAAATGATAAGAAATCGAAATACGCAGAAAAAGTAAATAATTGGAAATCGAATTTGCATCGAAGTTAAAAGACAGGAAATTTAAATGCAGAAAACTTAACTTCCATTAAACTGAAATTGACCGAGAATCGAAAACACAGAAACTTAAAGTTGCTAAATATAAAATGCATCAAAGTAAATTACCAGGGAAAATAAAGAAAACGGTAAAGGGAATCAATGAACATGGAAATCCAGATCGCCAGGAACTTCATGATGTTCGTCGTTCTCTGGTAGACTTCTCACTAATATTTCGGTTCTCTCTGCCAATTTTCCACGCTCCCTTCCTCCTTTTTTCCTTTCATCCTTCGCCCTATTTATAGAGCATCCTTTAAGCAAGTAACTTCTTAGGAGCAGTTAATGAAAACTGCTACCACGTCCTACGTGCATGTTGCAGTTTCTTCTTCGGTGTCAAAACTGCACTCACGTTCCCATGATCTTCGACCTCTGTCATGGTTTAAAAACTGTCTTCACGTTCTCATACATGAGGTAACTGCTTCTTTGACCTTGGACCTTTGCCATCGCTTGCCACGTTTGATGTACACGTCAATTGTTTCTTTCTTTATAACTTGGCCGGGATTTCGATACATGGGTTAACCTTTCTCCGATGTTGATTTTGGAATCTCGAGAACGTTTGACTTGCCTTTGATTTCTCTTAATCTTAACATTACATAATTCTGATTTCTCGATTTCATTCACTAACGGATATTAAACATTCATCCTTCGATTCTCGATTCAAATTCTCGCTTATATTGTCACATGGTCGTCGAACGCATTTTCTAGCTATCTTTCGATTTATCAGTTTTTAACTCAATCAAAAAGGATTCTCGATTTGCTCCCATTTGTTTCTCGATCCCTTTATCGATTTCCTACTAACAATATTATAATTAATCTTGACTTCGAAGCCAAACTTATTTAAATATCATAACATAATATTTACTTATATTTTTTATTACTCTTTTTTATTTAAATAAAAAATTATGGAAAAAAAAATACACAGATCCAGTTTATGGTACAAAAATATATGTAAGTCAATCTAATAAGGACGACGGCACTTAGTATTTTGTTGAAACCGAATCTTGTCCTGTGTTTCCATGAACATGACTTGGTATTTATTTAATGATCCATGTATGACCTTCATTTTAATCACACCAGCCACCACTCTTGTCGGCCTACAACTACTACCCCACCAATCATAACAGGCTGTTATGATCAGAACAGGCCTCTCCCACTTGTATCCTTTCTTTCTTTTCATTCTTATTTTGACCATAAAGCATTCATAGATTTCAATTGCTAATAAAAAAATCACAATTTGGATGAAACATGGCACCAGCTTTTCCTCAACTCCCACAAACTTTCTCAACAATATCCAAACACGCATTTCAGTCTGTCATGTCGACCGTAATGAATTATGGAAAACGTTACATTGGTGCTTACTTAGTTAAGAATGCATCGCACATGGGATGAGTCCCAAGACCCCTTTTCTAGTTTTAATTTTTCTTTCAGATTCAAAATAACACATAAACTAGTACAACTTCTTAGTTTAGCTCTTTGCTAGGATTTAGAAATAGTATTTTTTGTGAATAATTTTGTCCGTTAGAAAAACACGGTTAGAGTTTGTATGGGATAACTGAAATTTCAAGACTTCACCTTCTTTTTTTCTAAAAGATAACACATTTTAACCAAATTTCAATTTCTTTGAGAAATCAATTGAAATTTAGATTACAAATTTTTAGTTTAAGCAAATCCCTCATTATTTTGATTAATCCCATAATTATCAATATAAAATAAAATATAAACACAGTCAAATATGACAAATACGAGGTTGGGGCCGGTCATACTTTATACATAAGCAAAGTCAAACTTCACTACGCAACTACGATGCCCTAAAACTTAATTCAATGAAGCAATTACTAAAATTAATATAATAATCTATGAAACTGCTTTCTACACTTTGGCTCACAAATACCAAGATAAATAGTATGTATACATATCACAGTCACACTAATACTGCAGCTGAAGACTATAATTGGATTTCATGTCACCTATACTCGGGAAAAATAAAGAAAGAAAAAATATTCCATTATAATTATATTCTGAAATATCAAAGAAATTTCAGTTTGCCCTTGGCCATAGAATCCTTAACAAGTTCCATATGGCAAGAAGCTCTCTGAGCACCAGTCAACCCAGAACAGGTGCCACTGGCCCCTAAAGTGACAGCAAAGTAAAGATAAACAGTACAGAGAAGTGTTAGCAGAACAAGAGCAGATAAGAGGAAGCGATGCCTCTGGACAAGTGTGGACCAACTACCCAGTTCATCCTTTGTAAACTGTCTCCTGAAAGAGGGAGACTTCAGGCGAGGAGAAGACAAAATGGAGTCAAGAACCATGGCTTCAGTATCAACCTTTTTTCCAAACCCCTGAAGCTGTACATCATGCAAAAACACCAGTACAATTGTTATTCTATGTAAGTGCTATTTAATGTAAGGCTTAAATGAGGACATCAGTACAGCAATCCAAATCCAATCCTACCCAGTTTTTTGCCTGTTTCTACACAATCATGCAGACATACTAACACATTTTTAAGGCTTCTAGAAAATATTAGATGAGGTTTAATGTCAATTAACAGTTACTATGTGAATAGAAGGGAAAATTTCCTGAAATCCTGGCCAAATATCAGTTTAGAATCCACTGGGAAATGTCACTTTAGTTTTCCCTCGAACAAAAGTTGGACTCTCACGCCTAATACTCCTTCAAAAGAAGGAGTAACTGCCATAAGACAGTGTCATCCACCGACAGTACCTCACGAATCAAGCCATGAACCCAAATTCAAAGATGCCAAATGCGAAGCAATCGAGATTTTAAATAACAATGCGCAGTACATGGTTCTTCTACTTTCTGCAAAAGCATCGCAGATTTCGGCCACATCTGTCCCCAATTTTCAACAATATCCAAGATCGCAACAACCAGTGACTGTAATCGCCGTTTAAAAACTTGAAAACCCTCAATACTAAGCTCAAACAAAAGGCACATGCAAGACCTCACTCTGACTACAGATGAAATGAAAAGGGAACAACAAACCTCGACAAAAACAGCAAAATTCCCAAAGACAACAAGATGAGAACTTTTACTCTTATTTCAGCAAGTAACACCACTCGACAGCTAAAACAAACGTAGATCTTTTTTTCTTTCCCAATTCTCACAATATTATACTATCATCGAGCCACATCCACTCAGCAGTAAAGAAATCACAGAGCATAATTGTCAATTTAAAGAAGCTATCATGCGTAGGGTTACAAGATTGTTAAGTCACTCCCAAATCGATCCAATGGAATGAAAATTGAACCAGATTCAAAAGAGAAGGAGTGAGATGGCAGTAAGATGCCCAGAGAGGGTGTGAATCTGATATGGTTAAGTTTGAGTCAACAACAGTAGCAACGAACAGAGACTTTTCTTGAATGGTGAAGCAATTAGAATTAATGATAGTACGCAACCTGAGGAATAAATTGATGTCGCGAAAGATGAAAGAAAGCTCAGATCTAACGATACAGTAAAAGAAAAAGACAGAATAACACATACCCTCCCCCTTCACCTTTGAAGAGGTGCCTTGGATTTGCGAATATGAGAGGTAGGACGAGACACTTGCCGCACAATTTGCAAAATAGTATGTGAATCGCACGCCAATTCCTCTTCTTATATACAACTCCAAAAACAACTATAAAGTTCGTTCAGATACGCGTATCCAACTCACTCCCTCCTTGTAGTCCCGTTTTTTATCATGCTAATCTCTATTCTCATTCTAATAATCTTATTTTGCCCTTTCCATTTTCAAAAAGTCACATTAACAAACAATGGGTTTTTTTTTTTTTTTTTTTTGGGTTTGGTAGGTTCAAATTAGCACATTTTGTTAGGAGAATAAAAATTTTCGGTGTCCAGGTCCAGTTGGCCGATTTTTTTGTTGGAAGACATTGATACATGTATTAATTCGGGGGACCCTTTTCGGTCTATGAATTCAGGCATGTAACAATTCTCATTTATGGTCAAGAAAACAAAGATACTGAAAGGTCCATCTCATTGATTGAATCATTGGGCTTCACTCCTCTCTGGCCCATTTCATCCATGTACTGGCTCCAATTGAACTCTAAGTGGGCCTTACAATTACAATGGACCCAAAAACCTAGAGACCATCTCTTTCACTAGAGTACTTGAAGGGACCCAAAAATTATTGGTTAATATTTTTCTACTTTAAATATTTTATTTATCTCTTCATATCATATTATATAATATATATATATATATATATATATATAATTAAAATAGTGAATAAAGTCATACGAGTTTTTCTAGGTAATTTTTCTATATATAATAAAATTTATGTTGTTCTATGTACATCATGAGCAAATAAATGTATGAAAGCTACAAACTAAAATATCTTACTCCGACAGGAGAATCTTGGTGGTGGTGTTAAAAGCTGCTTATCCTTAAGCTTGGGCTGAACCTTCTAACCTTGGCTGTTTGTTGCTTGTAGATTACCACAAAGCAAGGGAGAAGGGCTCTGGGATTTAACACATACAGTTCCTCAACATCTGAATGCCCATATTTTTCTGCCAATGAATCAAACTCTGAATCAACCCTTTCCTCAATTCCTTCAAGAGGGCTATGAATTCTCCCAGCGATTACTCTGCACACTATGATGGATTTTCTTGGAAATGCTCTCTCATGGGATGTCATAATGGAAATCGACTCAAAGGCTTTTCCACTTGTGGAAGTGGTGTAAACGCCCAATGCACCTTTGAATTCCTTGTTGGTCGAGAACCCATGTCTCAGAATTTGACATATACCACAGTAGTCTAAAGTGCACAGGCTATAAGAACTGTTTACCCCGAGAGAGCATGCAATGGTTGTGCCATGGAACCTTAAAAGTTCGTTTCCATCAGCCAGACAACGTGGGTGCTTTTTCTTTTCTTTGTCAGCCTTTTCCTTCACCTTTTCTCTATATTCCTCAAAACAAGCAAAGGTTTTTGGTATGCTCAGAACCTTCAAGATGCAATCAATCTCGCCCAACATGCTTTCAGAATAAACCGATCTTGTTCCACATATGGTTTCTATAATCTGTCTAGATGAATCTTCTTCAAGGTCAATAACTGCAAAAACAATACATGTTGATGAAGTATATTTCTTTCCATAAAAAACAAATACAGAAGTTCTTTCTGTCTTTGTTTCCTTCAAACCGTAGATGAAAGACGTTTAGCTTCAGCATCCATGTTAAATATATTGAGTTAATTAACATGAACAATTCTAGCACCTCCACAAGTAACCATTCTTTATTTCTTCTCTTTATTCTCAAGTATATTGAACCCCCTTCCCCAACCAAGGCTTTAGTTTCTCTGTGGGAAAGAAAGACTAAATTCATCGATCAATTTATTTAGCAAAAGACATGGAAAAGAGAAGTTTTTGGCAATTAACTGGACCATGACATGAAGAAATAGAAACAAAATGGAAAGGATAAGCCCCTTAAACTCTTGCATTTCATATTACTCTGTTATTACCTGAATGGTGGGAGATATGGTGTGCTTCTACAGCATCAACATTTTTTAATCTCTCGCCACATTTGTGACATGTCAATGTTGAGCAACCATCAGAATCCATCTGAACCAACGTCCTTGTGTTGGAGGAGACATTTGCTTCATTGTAATCTACAGGAAATGTTATCCTTGAAGATGTAGCTGACCTTCGTGTTCTATGAGAAGCTTTATTGCTGCTAGTGCTTTGAGGACAAGGAAAACTTCGACTAGTTTCATGGTTTGAGCTATTGAGAGTAATTTCATGGGTTATGGGACCAGTGATGTCAATGTCCCCTTTGAAACCTAGTGAATTTTTTGAGTGCCTCTTGCTTTCTTGGATGAAATCTTTGGTATTTGAAATCTCAAGACTGGCTAACTTTGTTCGCTGATTACCTTTTTGTTGCCTAATAGTCTTTGGATCATGAACTTGATTTGGATGTGGTTTGCACTGGAGCGTCTTCTTGAGAGAAAGCCAAGCCTCAAACATTCTGTGTCTCTCTTTTCCTTATGCTCTTAAAGGATCAATATTCAAAAGGCTTTGGGAGAAGAAATGTGTAGAATATTTACCAATAACCTTTCCAATTCCAAAAGAAAGAAAACATTCAACGAATCTTGTCCCTTGACTATGCAGTTTCTTGTTTTTTTCCTTTTCCATAGAACGTTAACACAAATTCCATGTGTAACACTATGCTCATTATAATGATTTCAGTAATTGAATTGCCATAAACTTGATAGTTTGATTTTGACGCCTTATAATAACTTGAGAATCTCAATTTATTATTCATGATTCAAGCAATCTCCAAGAAATTTTATGTCATTTAAGATTGATTATCTGATCTTTGAACAATCAACCAATGAGGAAACAGTAACAGGGACCACAACCATCCAATTATTTTTTATTTCAAATAAAATATTACTCTCTGAGATTGAAATTGAATTTATCAACAAGGAAATATAAGCAGGTGACAACTTCATATCATAAATTAATCAAACTAAACAACTTTATATGGTGCGTTCACAACTCTGAGAAATTTATCAATAATTTTATCTCAAAAGTCACTAATCTGTGCATGAGCTTCACGCAAACAGTTTGAATTCGTCGGATCAATACATTCTTTAATTAATTTTATTTATGTCACAATGATTAGGACTAATTAATTTATTCTTTAAATGATTATAGATTTATATAGCAACCACAGGAGCTCTTGGCAATGTCCAAATTCCAGATTGTCTTCAGTTTTATCAGTATTCAAGATTTTTAGCTATGAAAATTCAAAGTCACAATTCCTTAGATAAAGTTGAAGAATAAAAAACCGAAGAACGGGTGCTTGATATGACTTATATATTTCGTAAATAATTCTGACCAGTCTTAAATCCAATATGAACTAATAAGGAATAGAATTCTAAAAATTTGACTTATTTCTATACTAATTGATAGTGTCAGAGACGTGACTAACTGAAAGTTAAGTTGTTAGAAGAAAACAAAATGAAATTGTGAAATTCAAAAAATGTCAAAGAGAATCAAATGTTCTTTGCTTCAACGTAGATGTAGATAAAACCAGAAGGGCACGTTCTATAATATGCGGGAAAAAAAATCTTATAGCGAGCAAGTAAAGAATCTTTTTCATTTTTATTTTTAAAACAGGTCTTTCCCCACACATCAAGAACCTATGAATCACATAACATAACTGTGTTGCTTTCATGTTCAAGTAAAACAACATTTTAAGAGTTTGGTTGAATTTATATTAATTATCTTTTACCAAATCTATTGCCACCAAAAGAATTTATCAAAAGGAAGGAAATTAAAAAGCCTAGTTTTCAAATAAAAATAGAGGTTCTGTAGGAATACTTGTTTGCTGGCCATGCTTGAAAGTTGAAACCACATATCAATGTCCCTTCCTTTGTTAGTGATACTCTGCTTTCCTTGCCCCCAATGGAACGAATCTTAGAAAGGTGAAAGAAGAATAAACTGTAAAGACAAATGCAGCTTTTATCTCGAAATCGCACTTAATCTTACATAATTTTTTATAGACAACATGTATCATTCACTACTGACAAATTTCCTCCAAGTAGAACTTCAATTTAAAACAACTTGCTAAACTTAAGCAATTTTGTATATGACCTCAGATATTTGATAATATGCAGCAAAAGTGGTCCAAACTTTATTCTTATTCCTTGATTAAGAGATGGTCGGGCATCACTGTTAAATATATATAGTGTAGAGCCATAAAAAATGCCTAGTCCTGCTACATTCTCTTCTCTTGAGCTTCTACTGTATCAGTGGAATCATGACCAAAAACTATGGCTTCCTTATCTGCATACTTGTCATGGTCTTGGATATTGTTGCTGGCATACTTGCAATTGAGGCACAAACAGCTCAAAACAAGGTACTCTAATTAGAAAGACCCTACTGCTTCATCATTGTTGAGAACCCTAAAGGGTTTAACATAACTCTCTGACCTTTTTGGGATGAATTAACAGGAGAAGCACATGAAGGTGTGGATATTTGAGTGTAGATACCCAAGCTATCATGCTTTAAGGCTAGGATTGGTAGCTGCTACTCTCTTGGTAATGGCCCATGTAATTGCTAACTTGCTTGGTGGGTGCATTTGTGTTTGGTCCAAAGAACAATATCGCTCAGCTTCAGAAAATAGGAAATTAGCGGTGGCTTTTCTCATTTTCTCTTGGTAAGCCTTTTACTCTGCTTAATATTCACACCCTTTGCATTGTAATCTTCGAAGTAAGAGCATTTTGTGTGATTTGTTAAAAGTATAATATGCAGTGACTTATCTGTTTTCAACTTTCCATTTAATAGTTTAACTTTTGGAATTCATCTTGAAATATCTTTTTAAATTCATATATGTGGAATTAACTTTGCAGGATCGTGTTAAGCGTTGGGTTATCAATGCTCATCATAGGCACATTAGAAAACTCAAGATCAAGAAAATTTTGTGGGATGTTCAGCCATCGGTTTCTATCCATAGGAGGAATTCTGTGTTTCATCCATGGATTGTTCACTGTTCCCTATTACGTCTCTGCCACAGCCACCAGAAGGGAGGAAGAAAAGAGGCGAGAAAACACAAGCCATGGCGGAGTAAGACGCTCTTGATAATCTTTTGTTACCAAAACCAAAAACTTTTATACCTAGTCTTTACCAAAATTATTTGCTATATGAAGTGTACATTTTTTTTGTGTCCTTTTATGTTTCACTGATTACACAAATTGCTTGATTGAACAAAGAGCTCCATTTTCAACTGATGTACAAACAACTGCACGGTTAATAACACTGAAAATGCACAACAAAGTGAAGAAACTACTTAATTTTGTGCCGTTTACATTTACGTCGGATAAAGATGTTCCCCAACAGAAGAGCGTTTCCCTCTTCACGTTAATATTTCGATCATTTTCAATGATATTAAGCATTTTCTCTTCATGTTAAGATTATCTTTTTAGTCACCACGACGTTAGTAACTGTGACAATGTAATGTTGGCTATGAATCCAGAAATGACGAGGATGGGTTTTGCAGTACAATGTAAAAATATATATATATATATATATATATATATATATATATATATATATATATATATATATATATGTCAATATTTATGTGTGAAATCATAAAACCACGTTTTTTTTTATAAAAGTCCAAAAGGATGGATGAAAAATCTACTCCATATATGTTAGCCTTGTAAATTGATGATGAGAAAGTACAAATTGTTTTAATATATATTAAATGCTTACACATAAATGTTTGTCTATGAATAGAATTATGTTTTATAACCTCAAAGCATTTTTCATCTTAGATATAATAAAGATATAAAGATGTTCCCTAAACGTATTATATTATGTTCAAAGAAAATGCGTTGATTTATAACAATGATAGTAATAAAGGCATACTTGTAATTGTAGTTTTTTGTATTTTGGAAAATTATCAATTTTAATTTCTAGTACAATTATATGCCCTTAATTTAATTAACGCTTGTACTCTCAGGTTTATGAGCAAACACAATAATTTTAAGACCACATTGGTAGAGAACAAAACAAGTGATGATGAATATAAGGAAGTAAAGGAGGATAGAGAACAAAAAACGAGAGTATTTAGGGAAGGCCAATGAATAAAAAATATGAGAGGTAGTAGTGTTTGTATGTGTGTGTGTTTGTGTGGTCTCATTTCGTAGAGGCTTCCTGGAAGCGCTAAAAGTTGTGGTTATGAGTTTGTTTTCTTTAATTTCTCGTACGAATTTTCCACGCAAGTCATCCACCCCCCAATGCTTCTTACTTCCCAAAGCTGCCACCAACACCAAGATAGAGACTTTCCATGCTTCTTCCTTTCAGTGGTGCCTAAACCAACCCAAAAACCAATCCCATTTTATTTTTTATTCCCATCTATTCAATTCACCAATTCATTCTTTTTCTCACGCCCTCTGCCTCTGGGTAAGCTTTTCCTGCTCTTGCTTCTTTCCTTTTATCACTTCACTACCCCTTTCTAATATCAGCTTTAAATTACGCTTCTTTATCGGTTTCAACTGCAATTTCTGTGCTATGCTTTCATCATCCCTTCTCAGCTACCTTATCATACATATAGACCATCTTCAATTCACTATAGTTTCCCATCGGGTTAGTAATTTTCCTTTTTTCTAAAGCACCCTTCATGAAGACTGTAAAAATTCAATTTATCCCTCCGAAACCAAGAGATCTTATAATCTACCTGCTGAATCACAGGCACTAACATGTATGTCTATCCCTGTTTTCTATTTCTCACCGTTTGAGTTTTTGAAATTAAAATACGTGGGCAACAATGTCTCCACATTTTTGTTAACGTAACCGTCCGTATTTCTTATTTGTCCTCGTTTTTTACAGTTATTACGTTTTTTCTACTGTGAGAGATTGAAAATTAAAATTGTTGAAGTAAATTGATGTGGTAACTTGCATTTGCATTTTAAGGATGAGATTGTATTTGTTATTCTTGAAAGTAGAGAAATATTAGAAAGGATGTTTAAGAGCCCAAACGGAAGAATAAGAAGTTATAGATATAGAATATCGCCTTTATTGTTGTGACAGTGTTCTTAACAGCATTTAGAGCATGGGGAAGTCCAAATTAAGCTGGAATGAATTCCATTGTTTGTCAGAAAGTAAAGGTCTATGTTGGTGCAGGAGGACTTGGTATTATGGCCACTCTACCCACTGCTGAGCTAAGTGATGCAAATGCAACGCATGTTGCAAACGGTGATGTGAGGGTGCTGCATCCGGTGTTCAAGATCTATGGTCAGGCCACATCGTTCTCAGGTCCCATTGTAACTGTGAAAGTCTTTGAAGACAACGTGTTGGTGAGGGAGCTTCTTGAGACGCAAGGGGAAGGAAGAGTATTGGTTGTTGATGGAGGGGGGAGCTTGAGGTGTGCTTTGCTGGGAGGGAATTTGGCACAGATAGCACATAACATGGGGTGGGCTGGAATTGTGGTGAACGGCTGCGTTAGAGATGTGGATGAGATCAATGAATGTAGCATTGGCGTCAGAGCCTTGGCTTCTAATCCACTCAGATCTAACAAAAAACGCACTGGGGAAAAGAATGTCCCTGTTTACGTTGGGGGAACATTTATTCGGGAGGGAGAATGGTTGTATGCAGATAATGACGGCATTCTCATATCAAAATTTGAGTTGTCAAGCTAAAAGTAACCTTCAGTTAAGTATTGTTATTACTGGGATGCTTTATCAGATTTTAAGTCATGATATTTCTGGTTTAATTTGTTATTTCAATATGCAAAAGACGTGTGATCATCTAATTGAAATGAAAACAAATCATTTTCCAAAGATTTCTGTTGATTTTGAAATTGCTTGGCCAAAATTACTGCCTGTTCGATTGGTGGGGCATAAAATAGCAATCCACCAAACTGTGTGTAGGAAAAATAAAAAGGTTTGTAAACGAATTTGTTGCCCCGTATTGAACCGAAAGCCATGATATAAGTAGTCCTTAAGACTATGAATGAAACTGGTCCTTAAGACTACAAAAAATGATATTATTTTAAAATGTTGATGATAACTTACCCACAGCTAGAATGTTATATAAAGTACGGTAAAAGATAAAATTGCGGTATGAAATAACATATCAGGAAATGCTCAAGCATCATAAAATGGTAAGTCCTCATATCAGACACAATTATATGAAAAGGAGAAAAGGCATGAATGAAAGATGCAGACAAAATGTATGAAACGTAGTCTAGTCACTCTAGCACATTACTCTTTCACCAAGAAGCTTGATAATATGTTCAAATACTATAATCAAATGATTATGCAGCTACAGTCAACTGAAAAAAACTGTGGTCATAAACAGATTTTCTTTTGCTAATTTTAAAATATAAATGCAGGACAGACAACAAAGAGATAAATCATTTAGCCATGTGAGGTACTCTAAAGAAATAGGAGCAGAATCATCACTCCTCTAACGAAAGTGATCTTTGATACTATCATTACTCTTAATGAGTTGCAGACGCAGTCAACTTAACGAGGGCTGAAACAGTTACTGCTATTTCAAATTATAATGATTACAAGACATTAGGATGACAGAGATAGAACACTTAATCTAAACAGTATGAATGTTTCCTATTTTCTAGCAGGTGCTGCAGCCATGGAGTCTTGTCTTTGAAAGGCTTGCGTTATAGTAATTATAAATTGAAACCTTTTTTAAGTCTCATACCGTTGATTCAAGCATTTGATTTAGAACTGGCAAACTCGGTCCAACACTAAAGGAGGGTACCAGTATTTTTATACGGTTAAAGGGCTCACCGAGGAAAGAGAGATAAGACCTGATGCCACAATCATGGAGGTCAATAGCCACCACTTCAAAATCCGATAAAAGTCATCCCTTTTAACCTTCCAGTAATTTGTCTCAGAGCCTGCAACTCTACACAATCTTCAGGAACAAGGGTGGCCATGAAATTTAAATCTTCATGCAATATATCGAAACCCTCACCACTAGCCCAATCTTAGTGGCTTTTAAGGCAGCACAGACCTCATAACAGTCCTCCATACAGTCAAACCCAGAGTGCTAAATTTATTTCCTGTAACTGCGGATACTTAGAAGTTGAATTCAAAAAAACAAAAAAGATAATTAATGTTTGCTGCATTTAATCTATGAAAGCCAATGCATAAATTACCCTATTCAACAGCCTATAACACCTACTCAACAAAGATGTGCTTAAAGAGGTAAAAGAAAAGGCTTAAATGTTGAATTCTAGTTTTCCTTGTCCTCGATATCGAATTATAAAATTGGAAACATAGAAATGTTATGGAAAATAACACAGGAATCAAACTCAAGGATATCAGTTCTAAAGAAGTAATTCATGCAAATTTCTAAAATCATATTAAAGATCTTCACGGCAAAAATATGATGTCAGCAGGAAACAACCACATATCTGCACTCATTAAGGAAACAGCTCTGCACTTCAGAGACAACTCTTCAGCTGCAGTAGCCTCTAAAAATTAATAAATTTACAAGGTAGGACAGGTTTTCTGGGTTGATAGCTTTTGACTTATAGATTGTTAATATTAACTGCTGAGTTGTGTACATGACCAACTCAAAAACGGTGCTTGGCTGCTGTAACAATACTTTCACTTTGATCAAAGAATTCCAACAGAATGAGGATTAGACTCCATGATTAACGATCATGTCAGTCAGCACACCAATTCCATTATCATATTCTCATGGTTTTGATTGTAACCACAAAAGATAACCAAAATAAGAATCCTTCAAACTAATAAATCCCTTGATGTGCAAGAGCTGATGATCATGGTAGAAAGTAAACAACAAGCACAACAGCAAATCATTTAATTAAGATTTTGATAATATAAAATACATAAATAGAAAAAAAAAATCATTTTGCTGTTTGTTTAGCCCTTAACATGCATTCCAAAGTCATGTTTACCCAGAAACCATCTCTCGTTTGTTTAATCGTCCATATGAGTGGCGGTGAAAGTTGTATCACCAGCGATACCAGCAAACATGAACTTCATATTTTGAGCCACATTGGCACGTCACCAAAAGGAAAAAATAAAAGATAATTTCTTAGTCAATCAACAATTACTCAAAAGATCATTCTACAACAAAAGTTTAAACAAGAGAATTGATTGTCACAAAATTTCTAAATAACTTTAGAAAGGGAACACTTTGATAATGCCAATAGCTAAAGAACATACTATACTACTGATAGAAATATTATATCATAGTCACAAAATTATAGTGCATAGCAGATAGATCGGCAAAACACGTGACACAGTACCAAAAATGGCCACCAAACAATACTGAGAATCTTAATGGTTAGATGACCAAAGTGCCTCAGCTATCAACTTGGTCTGCTCCGCAATCAGTTCTGCCCGTTTTACAAACAGTTCCAACTCAGCACGTTGTAATTTCTTCCACTTTTCCCTCAACTCTGCGCTCTTCGATTCTCCAATCAACTCCAACCCCCTCCTCACATCACGCTCGTCCAGCCCACAAATACCAAAACCCTGTGTAAACCGGGACACTGCATGCAAAAACATAGTCACTTCGCCACTATCAGGCTTTGGATCAATCTGCATCTTTTCAGATCCCTTCCACTCCAAGGACAACACCGGAGCCAGCTCCTGCTTTGGTTCAGGTTTAACTTTCTTGGCAGAAGCTACATTCCTGCTACCGGTTTCCTTCTTCTTTGGAGTCTTAGCAGCACTCCCATTAGCCTTGGGCTTTTCCACCGCCCCATTGGCCACTCCACCATCTTGCTCACTTCCCCAAACCTTCTTCGACAACTCAAATGTTTTCTGATCATGCGGCTTTGTAAATGTAAGGCCCTCGGCGCTGTTCCCTCTCACTGCAGCGATCTCATACTTTTTCTTCAGTCTACGCACCTTCTCCTTCAGCTGGTTGCCTGTAACTTCCACATGGACCGACTTCTTCATGAAATCATGGAAAGCATTGGTACCCGCAAACTTAAGAGGGTCCTGCCCTGTTTTTGAGGCGAACTCAATCATGCCCTTCAGAATGGCGAGTTCGTCCTCCTCGCTCCACAGCCTCTGCTTCTTCAGTTGATCGCCTGACTTCTTCAGTTGATCGCCGGACTTCTTCCCGTCCACTTCCATCTCCTCGTCGGAAGCAGCAGTGGAAGAAGACGAATCGCCGGATTTCTTCTTCTTCTTCGCGACGTGGGCGGCGTTGTTGTTCTCGGCGGGACGTTTCAATGACGGTTTGGATGGCGCCGTCGCAGGTAAGACCTTGGGCTTCTGGGCCTGGTCCATGGGCTTGGACGCGAGGGGCTTCACCACCTTAGCGGGAGTGGATTCGGATTCGGACTCGGTCCCGAATTCGGATTCGGTTTTGGAATCAGAGGATGAGGGCTGGGGGTGAGGGGTTTTGGGAGGGGGTGGAGCGTGGGTTTTGGAGATAGGCGGTGGAAGATCATCATCTTCTGCCTCTTCTCCGGAGGATTCTTCCTCCTCCTCTCCCGAGGAAACTTCTTCCTCCTCTTCCTCTTCATGTTGCATAGAGGACGGTTGCTGCATTTCTTCTTCCTCGGAATCTGAAGAAGAAGCCGTGGGTGGCTCATCGAGAGGGGAAGGACGTTTCGGCTTCTGCTTCTGCGCCATGGACAAATTAGGGTTTTGGACAACTGATTAGGGTTTTGAAAACCGAGTGAGAATGAGAAATACAGCCACTGAATAAAAAGTGACCACAGAATTGAATATGTAGTTACAAAAAATGGGCCAAGAGGAGAAGTGATAGGAAAAGGTCAACCGTTACACACACCAATCACCTTTCGCCATATTTACTTGATTAAAAAAAATAGTTCATCATCTTCCTTCAATATTTCAATTATTATATTTTTGTTTTCTGTCGCGTTTATATTATAATAATTATAATTCATAATATATAATATTTTTAAAATGATATTTATGTTAATATTAAACGTTTTGTATTTAATTATATGATTATTTTTACTATTATACCATTTTAAAAATATAAATTTGAAGATAATATATACATAGTTAACAAGTTGAACCTATAAATAAAGAAAAAAATTAGGATAATGGATTATCTAAAACAGTTGATAAATCAAAATATATTTTAAAAAATATAATAATATATAATATTAAGATAAAATAATAATATTTTTTTTTCAAATAATCTCATTTCCACAAATAATTAATAAAAATCTTTGCAATAATAATCATTGACTATAAGAATTCAGATGAATAGTAAATAAAAAGTTATATTTATAAAATAAATATTTATTTTAATTTAATAAATTAAATCTATAAATAATATATTTAAAAAATTATCTAAATAAAATATTTATCAATTTATTTACTTAAACATCTGCTTCTTATTTACATGTATTTTTTTCTTTTACGTAAATTTGTCAATATTAATCAATTTTATCACAATTATTGCATACGGATTAACAGCCCAATAAATTCATTCATATTATACTGTGATCGATTTATTTTTATTTTCATTTTGATTCTTTTTTTAGTTATAGGTTGTGAATATATTTATTTTCTATTATTCTTAAAAATAAATAAATAAATAAATAATATTTTATAATTTTTAATTAAAACCTTAGAACAAATACTAGTGAGTTTTACACACAGTGTTCATTCCCATCTTTGATTATGTGTTCCGTGACATAAATATTTTGTGTTTCTATTCACATGATATAAACTTTTAAAATTATTTATTCAAGAATAGTAGTAATAAGAGTTATAGACTTTTATCCTTTTAGTATTGATATATGTTTTGATAATAATTTTATCCTTTTAGTATTGACATATGTCTTGATAATAATTGTGATAAGTGGTTGAACAAATAGTGTTGTGTTTTCTTTCAACACCGAAGAAATTAATTGGTAATAACCATAGCATGCTTTCTCTTTAGTGTTACCATTTTCGTACATTTTTCTTATGTCAATGTTGCACTTTCACTGCTCAATCTAATCTTGTTACTTATTGGTAGCTCTTTTTTGCTTGATTCATGATTGTTTTCAAAAAATTTAAAGAAGGCAATAATTAAATTAGTTATACTCGGTTTGTGAGTATTATGGAAGGCATGGTTGCAACACTATTGCATTTAGCAACTCGTCAAACACAACTTGATGTATCTATTGTATTGTTTATGCTGTAACAAGAAAATATGGGTAAGTTGTGATTTTGAAAGACTTCAATTTGATATACTAATTATTCATTTGTGTCGTGGAATAATGAATTGTTAGATCAAATGTCCTAGGAGCACTCCTCTTCATCTTGTAGCTAAAGTGAAATAATGAATGGTTACGTGCATTTAAGAGCACTCCTGTATGAAAATGTTTCCTACATTTTTATTTTTTTTTTCCAAAAAACTTTCCTGCAAATTTTAGGTTGTAGAGAAAGTTTCCTACAAATTTTAGGTTAGACCAAAAAGTTCCCTTCGAGTTTTACTTTGCAGTAAAAGTTTAATTGGATTCATTTTTCCATCAAATTTTTGTGTAAATTGTTTTCTTTTTTCCAAAAATCTTACAGAATTTGTTTGTGATTTTTTAATTTTTAAATAATTAATTATCCACGAAAAAAAATTAGATGTGAATTAAAATTTGCACAGAAATGTACAAGAAATTGTTTTCTTTCAAAGTTTTATAAAAAAATTACCAGAAAATTCCCATGATATATATATATATATATATATATATATATATATATATATATATAATTGATTCATAATTTTTAAGTTCAAATATATTTTTTGTTTTTTTTAATTTTCTTTTATTCCTTTAGAATATTAATTTTATATTTTCAAAAAATATTATTTTTAACTCTCTTTACAAAACTACATATGAGTTTTACATTGTTTAAAAATCGAGATTAAAATAGTTTATATAAATATTTTTTCTCAATTCATAAAGGTGTGTTTTTCATATATACAACTATGATCAGTTAAAATTTTAAAGCGATAATATTTTAAATATGCTAATTGATCTTAATGATATTATGATAACCAAAATGTAATGACAAGTTGTATTATGAGGTCAAGATATATCTATTATTATTAAATATATCTGTTTATATATTTATAATTTTAATTTTTTATCTTTTCATATTCATTTATTATTTATTAATAATATTTTATTTACCTCACATAAAATCTATCATTACAACACATGAAGCAAATACATCGTTTTTAAACAAAATATTGACACCTATCGTTAAATTGAATAAAATATTATTTTACTATTAACCTTTAGTCTTCGTCGAAAGTTATGATTTAGTATATTCATAAGTCTCACATAGTTTATAATTTAAAAATTTTAAAATAGATAATATTACAAACAAAGTAATAAACCCTAAAATGTTTCAGTAATGAGATATGAGATTGATATATTTTTGTTTTTATGACAAGACACTCATCTCAATAAAGAGACATAATTAAAAAAATTATTTTAAAACAATTATTTTTATAATTTTAAAAGTTAGTTTAGATAAAATATTGGGGTACAAATTTAAAAATTATGTTAATAATTTCATATTAATAAATATGAGAGATATAATACAACTATTAATAAATGCATAAATATAATTAATATATAAAGTTACATACTAAAAATATTTAATTAAAAAATGTTTTGACAAATATAGTCATATTATTTTAATTAAATTATAAAATAAATATTTTTTAAATTAATAAACAAACAATTGAATGGAAAAAAGTACACATTAAAAGTTAAAAGATACTGTTTAAAAAAAGTTAATAAATTATGTTTATTTTAAGTTGTCTAACTATGTCAAAACTCTAATTTTGTTTTGTTATAATAGACCTAAAAGTTTAATTTATTCTCTCTTTCACTGTAATAAATTCATAAATTTTTACTATTTATTTTTTTTTGTCACAATAAATAGTAGAAAAATTGAATTAAGATGAGTTAAAAAAATAACAACCAAAAAAAATAAAAGAAAAAAGAAGTTAAACAAAACTAATAAATTAAAAAAATTTAAAATATATGCAATAAATTATTAAAAAAATATATAATGATAATCCTATTTATAATCATTATCATACTTAACTTATAATATTTATAGAAGAATAATCAATAAAAAATTTATATTTTATATATAATGATAATTATTTTATAATTATAACATACAACTAAAATGATATATGTGAATATTATCATATTTACATATAATAATAGTTATATCATCATTAACAAATTTTAATTTATTTTTAAATTATCTAAAATATGTTTTAATGATAACTCAAGTATGTTTTTTTATATTTTTTTATTATATGAAAATATAATACTAAAATATTACCGTGTATAATAAATTTAATAAGAATATTTAATATATATATATATATATATATATATATTTAAATGAAATAAATAAATATTAATATATAAAATATCAAAATATGTGTCTACCACTACACTAATATAAATATAATAATAATAAAAAGTAATTTCACTTGGTAAATCTCGCGTCTATTCTTATTTTATTGATTACTATTTCAAGAAATTTGACTTAAAATAATAAAGATTATTCAATTGTAATTTTTAATATTTTTGGAGGCTAACCCACAAAAATTAAAATAACAATTATGTCCTTAAAAACAATAACAAGATAAAATAGTAAAAATAGCAAATATTATATTAATTAAACATAGTTAAAAAATTACATTTTAAAAATTTTGCATAAAATAAATATATTTATCTGAAAAATATTTATTATAAGAATAATTAAACACAATATTAATTCTTTCAGTGATTATTTAAAATATTAACCAACATTCCTTTTGTGTTCCACAATATAATCCTTAAACATATAACTTAAACAAATTTTAAATAATTTGTACTATGATTGATTGTTAAGTTTTGAGATTTATAACTACTTTTTTTATTCACTAGTAAGCGTGCAAAAGAGGAATTTGAGTGTTGACATATAATATCTGATAAAATGCCAAAAAAATAAAGTGTCATGAGATGTGATGATCACATGAAAGACAATATTATTATATCGGTGATGATAAAATGGCTGATAAAAACAATATGACATGGAATGTCACAATTTCTATGATTTTTCTAAAACATATGTTCATTTTCATTACTGTATCATTTATTAAATTTGTAATATGTGTTATGCACAACTTAATTTGAAGCATAATTTAAAATGGACATGTTTTAAAGCATAAACTTAAATTTGAAGCATAATTTTTTAAATATTTTAATATATATATATATATATATATATATATATATATATTAATTTAATTAAATTTTAAAAGATTATTATTTTTTTATTAAATTATGATATGAGATAAAGGTATATATATATATATATATATATATATATATATTTTATAATTTTACTTTATTTTTATATTTAAAATTAATATTAAAATTGACAAAATAAAATTTAAAAATATTTGATTTATAATGATATTTGTCTTATAATAAGTTTTTATATGATTCCATAGAAAATATTTAGATAATTTGGTACTTTCATATTTATTTAAATTGGTTTTTTTAGTTGTATTATATATAAGAGATAAAATAGAAAAATAGGAATAAATATCATGTAAAAAAAATATCATATCAAAATAATATATAAATCACGTTTTA